ACATTGTTGTTTATTTCTTAAGTAAATATTAGGCCGACCATCAAGTGTGATTTCTAAGGAAAGGAAGGACTCTATCTGTATATAATTGCAGGCCAATCATTTATTCATATAATCATTTTAATAGGAAAATTATATTTTTTATGTCAATACAAACCCTCAGATCTTTGAATCAACCAGATGCGGACCCCTCAGCATGTTAGACTACCAATTATATGTATTTATCTTCATAAAAACCTTTATTTTTGAGTGACTCTTTCAGACGATTTGAGTGTCCCCTTTCATTAAAAAAAAATGCAAAAAAGGGAAAACCAAACGCTTGGATCCCTTTAGTGGAACTTAAAGCACTGTTCTACCCCTGTCGGAAATCTGTTTTCTTCACACTCAGAAGCTTAACATTGGAATACAGCACCATCAGATAAAAAAAATTGAACAGTTGGAAAAAAAAATCCAGCGACAGGCAGCTTGTCTTACATTTGTATATCAAACAACTTAAAATCAAAAGAATCCTGGATGTGTCAGGAAGATGCTGGATGATTTTGACCCCCCCCCCTCCCCTTAATATTTAAGGACCGTCGTAAATTCAATAGGCTAGAATTCTCCACAAAGTGGTCTAGGGAAAGGTACCGGCCACACCTGTCAACCATTAATTATAGTCTACATGTCCAGATCCAGAATTATTGCCACTGATAATATTACGAATCCAAAAGGTTATAATTTGCCCAATCAGGGAGTATCTTCGATGCATTTTGGTCCGAGGCAACCTGAAGGATTATCTACCAAATAAGCAAAATCGTTTAATTTTTGAAGTTTTGAAGAAAATACCTCAGAAGCGAGAATTTGATGTCAGCTTAGTTTTGAATTTCATAACCTCCTCTTTAAAAAAAAACAAAAAACAATCAGGATCACCACAATTAATTAGCCTTTATTACGCACCAGAATGTTACCCTCATATTGATAGTTTCTTAAAATTTTACAGAAATTATATGGTTCATTAGCTCACAAATGCATAAAATGCTTAGTATTCTTTGCTCCGTCGATGACAGATTAGTTACTAACCAATCATGGTTCAGCTGCAATAAGTCGCAGGAGATCACTTGTCTGAACCAGTAGCAACTTATCACCTTGTCTGTAGTGAATATTGGCCAATAAGGTACTGACCACTCTCTGCAGACAAACAGACAAACATACCACAGACTGCGATCATGGCAATTATAGTAAGTTTTAAAAAATGCTGATAACCTGCAATTAACTCCGCTAGAATTGTCAAAGAGCTTCCCTTGGTAAACACCATATAAACAGAATCCACACCATATTAAGAATTCTATATATCATAAACGCAATATTATCTATGCATATACTTCTTGATGTTCATGTGGTAAATACGAAGATGTACATTGTACATTCATATCATAGCATTGTAACAACGCGAAATGTGATAACGACGCAAAATATAATAAAAATAGATTATTACATTTTTCGTTATTATATTTTGCGTCAAGATCAACACAGGATGTAACAAATAAAATATGATATCACACTTTTTGGATTGTTACATTTTTATTCTTGATGAATTGATTACTATTGATTTTGGGGTGATGTAAATTTGCCTTTACAGATTAATAACACTATTTTTGCTCTTGTTCATAAATTTATTGATGAAACCTGTAAATTTTAAAATGATATGTAGCAGAACTTCATTTGCATCATTTGTAAGGATTTTGCATGAATAATTGTAATATATAATTATTATAATATAGAATTATTGTAATATGTAATTATTGTAATATACAAAGAGAGGAACCAGTAGGCTGTAAGAACTTTTCCCAATACTAATTTATTCAATAAAATATGTTCAGAATTTAAAAAAAAATGCTTTCAACAGTCATAGATATAGTCAGTTTGTCTCAAATAGATTAATTCATAATTTGCATAACCAGGGCATATTGTATGTGTGACTGTAACATGAGGTCCTAGCTGCAGATCTGAAAAAAATGGGATGACGATGACGCGGGTATGTTAAGGTCAAGATCTAGTAAATGAAAGGTGCCTTCAGATTTCTCAAATTTGAGAAATAAAGTCCTTTAATGGTGCTTTATAACTTTAGCCTGGTCAAATAAGGTATTTCGGGGCATAATTTGTAGATGAACAAGACGAGAAATCATATTTTAAACTGTCATTTTCAATGGAAAATTAAGAAAACTAGTCATGAATACGGGAGTTTTTTTCCATATCAGACAAAGAAATGCATCTAGATTGCCTACAGTCTCTCAGAAAACGATAATTTGTATGTTCTTGGCCTCTTCTTTAAAATGATATCAAATTGAATATAGGTATCGGGATTACTTTTCACATGATTTCAAATTGAATTCCAGGAAAGTACTTTATTTTCTACAAAATTCTACTAGAGCCGTAAAGTACGGGAAAAAGAAAGTTAAAATTGATTATGACGTCATAATGAATCTAGCACCAAAAAGTTAGTCTGAAGTCATTTACTAGATCTTGACCTTAAGGCTGCACTCAGATATCCTAATTGCATATACAGTATGACGTCATTGTAAGCTGTATGACGTGAACTTTAGAGATAATGATTTCTTAATATCTATATTTGAAGTTTAATTTCAGGTCCAAGAAGTGAATGGAATAGTTCAAAAATATAATATAAACTAAATCTTGCCGTTTTTGGGTGGTATAAATAGCTTAGTATTATCACGGGGGTTACATACCAAACCCATGACGTCATAACAATTGATCAAATATTTGCCGAGTGAAAATTAAACGTGACGAGAATACATGTAAACAAATATATGAAATGGGAGTTTTTAAGCATATACCGTGAATGTCATGTGTTATTCATAAGGAATTAAAGATTAAGAATCAGGTACGATGATTTATACTTATCATGTTTTCTTATAATGAACACAGGCAGTGTTTTGAAATCCCGATCAGCCTTTCCTCTGTCGTTCTAACAAAAGATGCCAAAGTTCAACACTACGCCGCATACTTTGAAACGTAACTTTTGTTTGTATCGAAAGCTTGTATTCTACAGTAATTGGAAAGTGCTGCTAGAATCGTATGGTTAACATGAATTGATGGCAACTCCTTGATCGTATGTACAAAATGTGAAAATTTTGGTAAGGTTTCATGCCAAACTTTGGAATATTTTTTTCTGCTTCGGGAGAGTAGGATTCTAGCAGTACTTTTCATGACCAAGTGATGTTTTTACATAATTATTTTCACAAAAAGAAAGAAATCATTCCCGGGGTAGTGTTGAACTTTTCACTTTTCTGTTAAGGCAATTTTTCTATTTATAGACGTCACGTGATGACGTCGTAGTGGAGTGCTTCTTTTAGTCTAAGACTCAATGATGTCTATACAATGGATAATAATAGTAAATGTTTTATCTGTGGCTTTTCCGATTTATCAATGTTACATTTTACGAAAAAAGTCTAAATTCGCCAAAAAATGATATGGGTACTGCCTTAATATACCTGCGGAGAGCCACAGCAATTTTTTCAGACCAGCGAGTTATATACAGATCTGCAGATACATGAGGTCCACAACGAAAAAGCTGCAAAATTTATGTAGAGAGATAACTCTATTATCTGTGTTTAATAATTCTTGTGAAGTAAATAGGAAAAATGTGTCAAAAATCATTATAAGAAATCCATTCTTTTTTGGCAAAGAATGTATCTGTTGTTGTTATAATACATTACATAGTCATGCAAAATTAAATTTTCTTTAATTTTTGAAATATTCAGAGAATTTAAAACAGGTTTATCTATATAAAAATGTGTACTAGTGTTCAGAATCATAGCTGAGATTTATTTCGAAACGTAAACATGCATGAAAAGTAATGACCGACGTCAAAAAATTTATCATTATTTTATATTTTAGGGCACATGTATGTTTGCTTCCATTTATTGTCCGTGTCTTTTGTAGCTTGCCTCCGATATCTCCGCTGTCATGTGATAAATGAAAGTCATTTTACATTGGGCACTTATTTAAAAAAAATACATAAGTTGTTGACACTGTGAGCATTATATCATGCATAATATCACACCGAGGAAACATTAAATGCAGAGGGTATCGTGTATTATTGTTTATTATTAATGAATTTATATAATGAAAGGTTCCCATTCCCCGAGGTTAGCTCTAGACTTGCTTTGTTAAGAATATAACATTACTTTATATAACAACACCGATATGAATATGCCTCTGTGTTTCACGTAGAATTGAATGAAAAATTCTGATCTGCATGCATGATCAAAACAACAAACAAGAAAAAAAAATTCTGAAAAATAAAACATGCTCGAACAAAGTACACAGAATATACGGTATCTCCATATTTCATTTATATCATTTCAAAATTAAAGAAAATTAATGCCGTATGTAAGAAGTTTTCACATTCCACTGCTGTGATTCATAAAGATCACCAAAACGGTGAAAAGTTCTTCAAAAATAGTTAAGAAACTCTCACTCTCAAAAAACAAAAAACAAAACAAATTACAACACTGGCATTTCTGCAAGCAATTTTTATTCGATAAAGTATAACAATATACATTCGAAGAATAAATACTTGAGTTACAGTACCTAATTTCCAAAAGTAAGAATTCAAAACCAATGAGCGATTGGTCACCCAACTTGATTTTAAAAATATGAAAAATACTTCTAAGCTGCTGAGGAGAACACAGATTTTCTGCACAAAATTTTAAAGTTACCGAACATATGTTTGATGTTCTAATCAATTATAAAGTGTTAACATTGAATATTAAACTGTGAGGAATTTTCACTTTATTACTATATGCAGGTGCATATAAGCCCAACTCTTCATCTTTCTTCCCATTAACAAAGAAGTGCATTTAAAATGCTCCACTGACCTAGAAATAATGGGTCACATCCCATTAATAAAGTCCTTCGTTTGAAATGTCCCACTGGCCCAATAATTCTGCAAAAAGAGGGCGGCCTTAAAATAAAGGCGTCATTAAATACAACATGCACAGATACATACATAGGAGACACGAAATCACGCATTTAATCACTTCAAACATCAGAAAAAGCATTTTGGCGGACTCGGTATAATTAATTTTAAATGTCCCCGGGGAAGGGGTGTCCTTGATATCTTTTCTAGGGCCGAGCTGTGGGCCGTGGTCTCTTGATGACCACTATTTGTTTTTGATTGTATATGTTAATTAGACCCTCATCACGTATCCCCTCGCTAGGATGGGTTGCTAGTGAACGTTTCATATCTGCATGAACTCCCAAGATGTTTTCTTCGATGCCTAGGTGATTTTCTCCCCTTACGATTCGGAATGCCCCTTCCTCGCCCCACTTGGTTCCCCAACTGTTCAAGCATATCTAAAATATATAGTTTAAAACATTAAAATTAACACTTAAGAACTTTTACTTGATAATATTCACAAACTTCATTTGATATCCAGCCTACTGTTTTACTTTACCCAGTATTTTCGAACACGTCCTTTTTTATCAATATCTTCTCCCCATCTGTGAGTTTAAAGCAAAAAATAAAAAAAATAGGATTATAATAATATGTTCTATTCAACCTAAAAATGAAAAATATCCTTTCTTTATACTGACTTTCTCCTTTACTGATTTTATTTACCCGATTATCCTGACCGCCAATTTGCTCTGTACAAGATCCGCCCCTGTGTGTCTGTACACACCAGATCGATACATGAAGAGGTCAGCAGACACTTGAAAGGTAGCTACAAAGAAATCTCATGACATAATTATTTCAGTACAAGCAAAGTTAAACAAGAAGCTTAAGGGATAGAAATGCCAATATAATGATCCAAGACCTCTGAATCTGATAGGTCTGAATCTAACACTATCATATTTAGTATTAATGCTAAAATGACTTTTTTTTTTAAAAAAAAAAGTAATATGGTCTGTGTAAGGACAGAGATACTTCGCAGGTATATACGTTTTCAAATTAACGAAAGTCAATATGATTCTGAAAATTGCAAAATTTAGAACTTCAGATGGTTTGGAAAGAGCTACTGAAGTTTAGCAACCTCGATATCTCTATACATATAAAAGCCATAGAATATTACAGGAAAACTTTCAGATATGAGCTGACTAAAATAAAGTAGACTCCATCCATCACAATATCGAGATCCTCTAGCAAGTTTCAGATCACTTGGACATTCCAAGTCTTTCGGTATATAGTGACGAAGTCTTTGTTTACCAACATGACTGTGTAATGCATACATTTAAAGAATCTGATCCATATTTTGTCTTACCTCACGCAAAACTATGGATCATATAGCATTTATTTAGAGTCATAAAGTGTCAAGGTATAACCTGGTATTAACATAGTAGGTGCCATTACTATCATAGTGTGCAATAAAGATTCATAACAAAAATTAAAAAAGAACAGCCATAAAAATTCAAATTTAGGTCATGTTGACGAATGCCGTTCCCTTTGATTCCTCAGTGTTCTGATGGAGTCTGATGATCCTTGAAGGGCTCAATAGTGTAAGATATCCAGTTAAGACAATTTGAAAGTAGATCTTCATGATTTACAGTCATGTTTGCAAATACAAAAATTGTAGATGCATTAAGGAGGGATTCTTGTCAGGTGTCTGACTAATTCAAAAGTTCATATTATATCTACAACTGAGATATTAGAAATTTAAAAGATAATGTTTTTCTTTCCTCCTTACAACTGTACAACTTGGCATAGAAATGGCAATCCGAGTTTAATATTAAACAGGGACTTTTTTTGTGTACCAACAGAGTAGGAAAATATCATATCCATATAAGAAGCATAGAGAAATAACTAACATTTCCTTTAAAAAATTAGGAAAATTAGAGGAAATTCGGGTAAGTCCATATCTATTTTTGTCAAACTATTCCTCTCAATTTGGTGGTCTTATCTGATAGATGAAAAAGGTGAAGATAGCGAACAGTGATAGATCTAAAAAAAAAAAAAATCTACAAACTATACAAATCTGTGAACAATACAAATCTGTGAACATGGCATAAAACAAAGACCCCCGGAAATTCCAGAGGTGGGATCAGGTGCCTAGAAGGAGGTAAGTATTTCCTGTTGACCGGTCACACCCGCCGTGAATCCTAAATTTTGATCAGGTAGACGGAATATTCCGGAATCAAATTTAGTATAAAAACAAAGAAGGCCTCAGAATAGGTATGAAACACGTCAGTCAAAATACGGCCCAGTGATAGCTATTTGCTAACAAGGTCCTTATAACGATTATAGAATTTACGAAATGCTGACTTTTAACGAGGTAATTGAAATCCCTGTAAGATCAACTTATCTGTCAGTAGCCTGTCTCGGTTTAAAAATTGATCGTACTCGGAACATGCTCTTGGGTATCGAATAAGCTTGGAGATGTAAACAGCATATGCAGGTGATAGCGGAAAATTACTACATATTATAAGGAAAATGATGATGAAAAAGCTGCATGAAGTCATCTCTTTAGTTGTTAGTTGGCCCTTATCGTCTATAGCCAGTAAAACCTCCAAAAATGAAACAGATGTGGCAGACCTCTGTGGTGTCTTTTATTTCAAGTTCACTGGGATATATCGAGTCGACATATGAATGGAAATAACTTTTATCAATTGATAAAATATCGTCGATATATCTGAATGTCGAGTTGAAGGCCATAGCAAGTGCTTTCTTCTACTCAAGTGGACAAGTGGAAGTTTTTGAATAAATTCTGCTTCATAGGAATATAAAACAGGAGAACAAAAAGGAGCACAATTAGTGCCCCTAGAATTTCCAACTGTTTGTCGAAGGCCTGGCCTCATCAAAAAAAAAGATGTCAATGAGGAACTCTAGCATCTTTTTAATATCAATTTCAGAGTACTTGTGTGTGGAATGAGTAATTTTTAACAAAGTAATTTTGTTGATGACTAATCATAAGATATGAAGATTTCTGCGTTCCATTTTTATTGAAGAAGCAGTTGTCCATGATACCAAAATGCCTAGTCTTTAATTTCTGGTGAGGAATGGTTGTAAAAAGTGTAAAAAGGCGTACGTTTTGATGTTCATGACTCTTGAAAAATTTGGTGATTTTTAAATTTTCTAAAAGTTCTTTGGAGGTTAAGAGAATCCACATCTGATTTACACCACTTCTAGAATATGCTTTAGCACAGTACGTCTGAAGTTTGTCCTTTACAGCAGCTAATATTTTTGTAAGGGGTAAAGATAAGGACTTAATTGGTAGAGCATTTGCTGGACAATGTATCTTTCATTGTTTGTTAAGAGTTTTATGATCTTATGTTGTATTATTTTTTATCCAAAAAGATGAACATATAATATTTCAATACAGAAATACGTAGTAGTAATTCTTTATCCTTGAGAGAAAAAAACAATGACCTTGACCCAATCTTGCTACTATGATAAGATATAATATAATTTGATTGATATCATCATTTAGTAATATTGTCTTTTTGAATCCGAGAAAATTTCTTGAATTTTTGAATACAATAAATATAAGAAGAATCCATTCTTAACTGAAAAGGTCTGATAAACATATCCATCAAGATTTGACTAAGCATACATGTAGCTACTAAATTACAAATAAGGTCATGTTGACCTTCTATATATATAAAACACCTTCAAACCCCAAGATGCATCAAGTGGCAAAGTGTGATGTTTTTTGGCCTCATAATGTTTAAAATAGGTAAATAAAATACACCACCGTTATCAGCTTTAGAAAGCATCAGCTGGCAAGTTGACATATCCATAAGCCGAACAGTGTTCAAGATATATTTCTATAACAAATTGAAAATAGTTTTACAAATTACAAAAATTAACCTTGATGACCTATTTTCCCCCCTGGTTTATAAGAATGCCCACCTACAAATAAATTGCAATGTATATTTACCCTAGTCCACAAGAAAAAAAGTTATCCCTGCCTTGCAGGAGATAAAGAGTCAGCATACCTTGTACTGGTCCACTCTTATATATCTCTGTTTTAATTTCTTCTTCCTATCACAGAAAATGTAATTATAAGTTGAGTTCCTTTGGGTGTGAGTATAAAATGTGGAAAGAAGTAAAGAAATATATATTTGCTGCAACAAGGATGCATATAAAGTTTGATGGCTGTCAAACACTGGGTCCTTAAAATACATGGCCAAGAATACAATCCTGCCACTGTGGATATACAGGTCTATATGCAGGAAATTCATACTCACACTTTCCCCAACTCTGTATGGTGGTGTGACGTATAGGACAATTTTGGAAGTGGAAGAGTTGGTGTTCGGACATGTGTCCATGTTGTCCAGACATTTGTTGGCAGCAGTGTTCGATTGAGTGACGTTATAAGGATAACATTCCTCAGTCATGATTCTAAAAAAAAAATTGGCTGAATTAGACAATACATCGAAAACATTATATTGCAAGGAGAAGCAGGTTAGAGAAGTACCCTTTTCGTTTAATGAACCACCAAGCCTTTTCTGTAGACCCTCCTTCGCACCCTCTCTGTTTCCGCCTTGTGTCACATGACAAAAGATGCTGAGGCGAAAGCTGATTGGTCAGTAATCCTTTGGATTCAATCGCCAATCTGTCTGCCGCAACGTCTGAGAAGATAAATGCAAATTTCGCAAAACATAAATTTTCACAGAAAGATTGTAACACGACAGATGGCGCTCTGTGTAAAATTTACCTACTGTGGAGAACGCCCAGGAAGATGCACAGTTTCGTTGATCACGAACCGGATGTATCCATGACTTCCACTTTTTCCTAGAGTCAAAGAAGGCCGGGAGATCATTCTGTACTTTATTCTGAAGCGAAGACATGTTTTGAGCTTTGCTTTCGGTTGCTATGCCAACATTTTCTTTGATTCCATCAGTGAAAGTTTTATTCCAGAAACGAGTGTAGTTTGCAGTTTTCCATCTGCATTGAGCATTTCAAATACATGAAATGTAAACTTTGCAGTTTATAAAATCTCAAACGTAGACAGAGAACCACAGAAGTAAACAAAAGTTAATTTAACATGAAAACGTACACCTTTGAAAAAAACTGTTAAAGCTTTGTTTTGTCTTGTTAAGAGTTTCTCTCTCTCTCTCTCTCTCTCTCTCTCTCTCTCTCTCTCTCTTACCCTAAGTTTTGTGCTGTTTTGTTAAATCGTTCCAAGTCGATCAGACAGGAATTGTTTGAACACACCCAGTCGTAGCGAAATAACTGTACCCGTGAACACGTGCTAGAAGAAGAAAGACAGACAGAAATACACTAATTGTAAGAAAACAACCTCTTCTATGTTTAGTGTATACTTTTTTTTTATATAGATTTTATCAGTTGGTCTTTCCAAATCCAGGAGTTAAAAGACACATTTAAAATCATATTCCTTGTATTAACATTTTGTAAATGAATTAAAAAAAATTAATCCCACATTCTATCTTTTAGATCTCATATAAAAAAATAAATAACCACAACTAATGTCTTTGTTTTATAAAGTTATAACCTCGAATTTTCATCGAATAATGATGATAGACAAAACATTAGCTAATATTAAAAGTCATAGTTTTTCATTTCAGAACCTCTGTCTCTAAGAAAGTGAATTTCATGAAGGATCGGGCACTTTGACATAGATATCAAAATGTTTTTAGAATTGTGATAGTTTGCAATTGAGAATTGACGCTTGAAACAAAATTTGCATTAATTTTGATTTACAGAGAGACCACTAAATTGATTTTTTTTTCAAAGTTAGTCATTTTTGGTGAATTCTCATGGAAATTTTTGGATAGTTTTTATTTTGGGAAACAAAGAGTGCAATTAAATCTTTCTATGATTAGATGCATAAGCCTTGCTTTACAATGTGTAATTTGAAGTGTGTAAATAGCATGCAAACCTATTTAAATGGCAAAGTATACTGTACTTTAAATTTCATTTAAGAAATCAATTAAATGAAGAAATTAAAAGGATGACAACCATATATATGCCATTGTCCAGAAATACTGAAAATTTCACACTCACTTATAAAAAATGTGTTGTATCTAGAAATGGTTGCATTACATAATTATTGCACAAATGATGTTATGATTTATAATTATGTATAGCTTCACATTCTATACTAAAATATTGTATATTTATGTATGAACAATTGATGATTCTTATAATGTGTTGTGCCTTTGCCAATTATTGTAATTGTGTTTGCGCCAATAAATATTTGTATTTGTATATTATTTAGGATGGACACGATGTAACCACATTGAATGTTAAGGATGTGATTCACAAAAATCGTTAGTGAGGGACACGATATGAAAAACATATTGCTATTGACGGACATGATGGAATTAAGAGAAATAAAATGTCGAAAATTCTTTTCTAAGATCAAAACTAGGCGTAAGCATTGGCAAAACAGCATTTAAATTAAAATTTAATGGTATTAATGAAATTTTTGCTTGTCAGCTTGCTTGTGAAATATATCTAAACATATTTATGTCGAAATTAATGAAAATTTTCACCCACGAAAGACACTTTGAACATTCATCAACGAGATTTTTAACTTAAATCTCATTGTCAAAAATCACAAAATTTTGGACAATAAAAATTATTTTGGTGTACGTACATATCATGAATAAACGATATCCATCATTTTGTTACCAAAACAACACGCAAATAAAGTTTGGGGGTTTTAATATTTTACTGTTTTTGTTTCATTCCATACATTCCTACATAATTGTTTTGTTTACATATCTTTATGTTTTACTATTAATCATTTCGCAGCCAAAATAAAATATTTATGTATCAGTGCTGATTTTCGAATATGTTAATGACGTGTTAAAAGATAAATCCCCCATCTCGTTAGGGACAGTTATTATAAATTCCATAAACAGCTGATTGGCATCAAGCACTGCCATCTCTCTCCTCGACTCCTTTTACTATAACAATACAGATTTATCACAACACAAATATTCTTTGAAGAAAACTATTTATCACAGGAACGGGAACCATAGATTGTATCTCCCCGTCTGTCTGTACAAAAAACCGGACTTTTTATGATTGAACATCTGGCTTCGGATTCCGCCCTTGTCTATTTCTTCTATTAACTAGGGTCACTCCAGTACTTGTATATCCTGTAGTGCAAAATTGGTCAACCTTTCTGCAAACTGGCCTAGATTTTTACGCTAATTACTGTAATGCTTAGAGATTTTCTCATTTTTCTTAATTCAGCACAGTGAATGAAATTTTAAGTTTAGAAGTAAATATTCAGTGCAAAGGCGGAGCTGTAGGTTCACGTAGTAACTGCATGTCTCAGAGCGTAGAAATATTTTAAGTAATAATTTGGTGATTTATTTTAATTAAGACATTTCGCATTAACACGATAACATATTTTAATGCACCTAACGGTCGCTGATGTTCATTGTAAAACATTTTAGTGTTACCCGACAGATAATGGTCATTGTTAAACATTTTAGTGCATGTTACCCGACAGATATTGGTCCTTGTTAAACATTTTAATGTTACCCGACAGATATTGGTCGTTGTTAAACATTTTAGTGTTACCCGAAAGATAATATACATTTATTGCCCTCGGGGAATACGATTTTTCATGGGCGAAGAAATCTTCACGTCTCCCGAACATTCATGCAATAAATTGTTTATTATACCGAATCAAGCACAATGCAAGAAATACAAAGAAAATCCTATGAATAAAGTAAAACATTTGATAAGAATAATATGAAACAGATCTTAGTTACACCACTAGTCCCGCTTCGTAAAAACATTCATTCGTGACGAGTCAATGTAATTTACACACCAGTAACATTACAACCTCACCCGTGAAAACACTTTTGTAAATATTTATATTTTACATGTTGAATCGACACAATCAATCAATGATATAAACGATCTAACTCAGTAGTAACCATCTCAGTCACCGCATTGTGACGTCACAACCGTGAAACACGAAGTTAACACGACGGTCACGTGACTGTCTCGGCCAATCAGATTCTATTTTAGTAGTGATTATTTATATGAGGTAATAGTTTTTCAAGACAGACGGTAAATTGTTGAATATGTGAGTGGTACACAATATGTGATGTTCATCTGTTATCCGAAAAGTGATGTTAACTGTTGAACATTAATCAATGTACCTCACAGATCTTGTCTTCATGTTTCAAATTATTCAAAAATACCCTTTTTCTCCTAGAAATAAATATAAACATTTCAAATTATTTTTATAGCCGCGCAAAATACTGAATTTATCTTTTAATTAATTGTCTATATAAGTGCTGTAAGGATTAAAGAATGATTGCACTTAGTGTACAAAACGTGGCCCCCGGTAAAATGCGCAAAAATAAAGTATAGAAAATAGCCCCATGAGATGAATAATGTGATTCTTCTATGTCTAAATCACAACTTTGCGAAATTACAGGAATTAAAAGCCCATAGAAATAAAGAACGAAGCTGTGTTTTGTAAGAGGGGTCACTGCAATTCACGAATCTCCATTGATATTCTAAGTTATTCCGATTTTTAAAGCCGTAATACATGGTGAGCGCATTGTTGCCCAAATTTCTCAAAAGGACAGTAGGTGTATAACTGTTGGGAATTCATCATATTTAAAGGAGAATTTTGGGCAAGCCTGCGCTCGGGGTAGACTTTTTGAAAAAAGGTACAAAACACCGACGGTTTCCTTCACTATTCACGGGTATTTACATGTCATTGACCTCATTATGACCTGTTAAATATTCCAATTTATCATGTGATTTGTAGACTCGGGTAACTTTGTGAATACAAAAAAAAAAAAAAAAAAAAAAAAAAAAAAAAAAAAAAATAAAATCAATAAATCACGCAGCTTTAGCTCCGATTAGAAATTCAGACAGTTACATTTTCAATTGATCAACATCGAATTAAGATTATTTTATTTTTTTTCTGTCCAGTATTTTTAGTAGTGCTAAATATTGCTAAAATATTCATTATTTTGTAAGTAAATTCAACATTTTTGAATATTTCCAAACCGGTATTTTTTTCTGTAATTTTGCTTATTTTTCTCTGTATTTTTACTTAATAGTATTTTTTTTCTCCCTACCCCTTCTTTTTGTACATTTCCTACATTTTTGCTTTGTTTATTTGTATCAATTACACATGTATGTATTTACGTTGACCTTGATGTAGGGAGAGGGCTAAAATAGACTGATCCTTCTACTAAATTCCGTTTACTTTTCTTAACAAAATATTCTTTAAATTAAAACATATATCTATATTGATTTCAAAAGAGTTCTATATATACTTTTCAAAGGAGTTCTTTTGGTATGTATAAAATTCCTCTTTTGGTAAAACCCAGGCCCGTAGGAAGCAATTTCAGTTTTTGGGGCACAGCCATACATTTTCAGTTGGGGGCACTATCAACTACCAAAAATTTCTTGACAAGCAAAAAAAGGGGACCGGGGCATTAGACGTAATTATTAAAGGGGCAAAAGTGTATGGTAGCTATGTTTTCCTAAGTGCTCTATATATCGGCAAAATTATGGGGGGGGGGTCCGTGCTCCCTCCCCCGGTTCCTACGCCCATGAAACCGATGATAATAGTGGCATTCGTTGGATATTAATCTTGTTCAGGTATTAGGTCCACATTTGAAGACAGAAAAAATGATTCTACCATTCATAAGAAATATTTGAAAGATGAGGGTAATGGAATTTTAAATCGGGCAAAATGTAATGATATTTTAATTTATAGTCCTTGGATTTAGGGGTTCGCTTGGGGGCTCAATGAGTTTCCAAGGCATAGTCTACATCTTAGCAATAGCATCATTCCTCAAAATGTTTTTGACTGTAAAAATGGTTTATTTAGTGTTGATTTTCCACGTATACGCCACGTACGTTTCTAAAATTGCGATCGCAACTTACCCTATTTAAAATAAAAAATATTTTCGAGACAAAAGTAACTCATTCACCTGTTGTTTTTTAAGTAAGCTGCTAGATATTGTTTATTTACTATATGACTTCAAGGATCTACCAGAACCTACCAAAATTGGGGGGAAAATCTGGATTTGGGGGGGGAGTACATGTACATCTTCAAGATCCTTCCCCGCACCCCTCTTTCCAAAAAAAACTGGCTTAATCAGTGAGAAGCTTAAGCATGTTCTCTGTGTTCACTTTTGTGTATATATATATTTTTTTTTATTATATCCCAGAAGCCATTATATAACTGACTATTACATGTTTTCAATCGATCGATGAAATGCCCCGCCTACTCCGAATATTAAGGAGACACAATTAAAACCCAGCTCGGACATGCGCAACATTCCGAAATTAACACCCAATAGTGGGCATTTTTAATTACTTTTAATAAAACTAAAGCGCCGTTTTCAAAGTAAATTTTTGCAAGTAATGTACCACACAGATAATAAAATATGGGTTAAGTGTAAAATAATTAAGATTTGAGTTAATTAGATGATCTTAGAGTGGTCCGAAAAAGGGGCCACGGCAATATGCTTAAGTGGAAACATTCTTTGGTTATAGTACAAATTTCAAATAATAATAATTTGTTTAACTTTCATGTACCAACACAATATTCGGTATGGCACCAGGTTGTCAGAATTGGGAGTAAATTGTGAGAAGACTGAATAAATCTCTTTCGACAGCTTTCAAATAATGGTAGAATTGTTTACAAATTTACAAAAATACAGATTGGAGAAACATATGCTAAGACATATCCAACTGTTCGATGTGTATGACCAGCTATACACAGATGAGTCTGATTTATTTACTGTGCAACATGCAACATTGAAGAACTGATTAATATTTTCATGAATTCAAACACACACACGGCTGGGTACGGAAAAAAAATCGAGGGCACCGTATATTGAAAAGACATCGCTGTGCTGAGCATGCATTCACAAAATTCAAGAAAATCTTAAAAATAGGGCGAAAAACACAACCATGAGATGCAACATTGAGCATTAGGAAAGAGCGATTCTAATATCAATACATCTATTAATAATAAATAATACCAAATAATAAAGCAATAATTTCATTCGAATGGTCCGCTAAATTTCGCATTTGGTCATTCAACGTTCTCTAAAAATTAAACATATATATAAATTGTAGTTTTCCTTGCGACCTGAGAAACGTGTCACAATTACTGATAATTTTCTTTAAATTGTTCTCGACACCTCAATTTCAAATATGAAAAAAAAATAGTTATATAAAATCATTGCAGTTCTCTCATTTAAGTATATCCTACCAAACATTGCAGTTATCCCTGATGACTTCGCTGGGTTTGTACTCCTTACCATCAAATACACATCCCGCTGAAACATTAAAAAAATAATCTATTCAAGTTTAGTAGAAATTGCATACATTCACTTTTTTAGGTCAATACGTCATGATTTAGCTACCTTAACCATTCACCGAGCCCGAAGGGCGAGGTGAATATTGTACATCAAGGGTTGCTAAATCGCCGTGTTGACTGAAACACAGTAATAATATACAAGTATTTTTTTTATTATTTAATAATTAAATGATACAGACTTGCTAAACAAACCTTGTCCATCTTTCTTGTTTTTGTAGTGGGAGAAGCGGGATTAAAATAAGCATAACCAGCTGAATTAATGTGGAATTTCTTGATCTATTTTTGGTCCGGTGTAGAAAAAAATGGTTTATTCACCTGGATTCGGATGCAGGTGAAATAACTTTACGTATAACCTTGGTATAACAAACAGAAGTTTGGTCCATTATAGAAAAAAAAAATGTGATGTTAACCTGGAAGGTCGGTTCTAGGTGAACATACATGTAACTTTGAAGTTTCCAAAATGTTTCAAATTAATTGTATCGATTTGGAAGTTCTCGAACTATTTTTGGTCCAAGTAGAAAACAAGTACACGTTTAAATGCATTTCACCTGGAAGGTTTCGTGCATTTGAACATAACTTAGTATGGTTTAGGCCCGTAAAACGCGGGGGGAGAGGGGGGTAACAATGTCAGCAATCAGAGAACTGGGAATTATTCAATCATTTAATGATATACAATTATGGACCCTTTTGGCGGTGAATTAATGTGGTTTGATATTCACCAAAATAAATATCAATATCAACAGAGGCGAAGCCGACGACACCATTTTTATTAATGCAAAGGTATTATCATGTCAAGATTGCAAGTTACAACTTCGTCTTTTCCTTTCATAGTTTGTTAGACATGCATCTTTTCCCATCGAAATGTTTGGATAAAAATTCAGCGATAGGCTTGCCAAATGTTTTTCCTGCTCAAATACACGACTGGCTCCTGCCGTTGCAACCATTGTATGCAACGTTTGTTGAGGTGTTGATCACCGGCGCTGCACGTGCACTATCTAGTGAAAACGGCCTCGAAGAACTATGCAGGCTAACTCTCGATTCCCGTCTATACATATTACACCCATTAAACTCAATATTGATATTTTGGTCATTAAAACTTAATTAAATGCAAAGAAGAGTTCATTAGTAATTGATAAATAATTTTAAAACCAGTGTCAAAAAGTTAATTTTCATAAAGGGGGGGGGTTAGAAAATTTATTCATTGAAACCAGCCTCTGAAGCATCACCGGATTTTCAAATATGCATGGAAATGGATAAATGACCCTTAAATCTTTCCGTATGTTTAACTTATGTAAAAGTCAACGTATAAGATTGATAAAGTGGATATTTTTTAAATTTGTAATCTCACTTGAAATTGGTAATAAAATGACAATTTTTCTGTTTTTTGTCTGTAAACAAATCCCCCCTCCTCCCCCCCCCCCCTCGTTGAAACAGGAAAAGATTTGGTCTGAATTTATGGAATTCATGTTCTACCTGTGAAAAGGATTTTTTTTTTGGGATTTTTTTTTCACGGGGTGGGGGTGGGGGGTAAAAATATTTTCCGTTTATTTCTATAGTGAAAAACCTTAGTTTTACCAAAATTATCTCTTTGTTTTCCCAAATAAGTTATGTTTTATGAAAATTCACAAAAATATTCATATAAATATGAAATGTTAATCTTTGAAAATTGACTTGACCGATACTATCGTTCGCATGCAGTTCTTTAGTAAATATGTAGTGTTATGAACCGTTTGCGTTTGCATAGATTATACAGGGACTTTAAATAGACTATATAATAAATATATTATTTTTATGTCAAAGATCATATCATCAAAATAAAAAAAAGAGAAGAAAAGCTTACTCATCAGATAAAAAAGTTGAGAATGCAGAATTATATGTGATGAGGCGCCTCGACACACAAAGGGTAGCGAGACATTTTGTTTATATGAAATAAGGATCTGCACACCCTCGTAGCCTTTACTACAGATTAGTGGCGGGGAAAGAAAGCAAAATTAATACAAACAAACCAGAGAAACAGTCTCTCAGCTAAAAATGAATTCCATCTGAATTTAGATGAAATAAAACTTTACAGAAAAAAAATCTTTTCGCTTAGAAATCGGGAAACGAGAATAAATTCTTTATCATTTGATGAACAGTATTTTTATTTTTGATAGAAGAATTAAGACATAAGGGACTTACCTTTAGTGACGGGGGGTGCGATTCCCTGACAGGTGCTAGCATAATCTGGACAACAGTCGTTAGATGCCCTGTTACAGAACACGTCACAATAGCAAAGACTCCCAAGAATCTCCACCGTGCAGTTGTCGTCTCTCCCGGAACAACACGGAGACGATTGCCGTGAAGAGCAAAATGACCCAGGGGCGAGGTCTGCTCCCCATTCTATGAACCGCCTGTACCTACCCCCCTTACAAAACGGAAGCACCAACAAAAACAGCAGCGGGAATTTCAGCTTCCTCATTCTGACGCTAGTTCCCGGGCGAGTTTCCCGCCAAAGTGTGATGTAAGTCAAGTTTTTGTTTTTATCTGCCCTCCAATCCATTAGCTCTCGGCTTTTGTTAGATTTACATTTGATACTTTGGTGGGAATTCATTCAGTCCACAAAGCAAGCAATAAACCTAAGTATTTTATCTCGGGAACAAACAGACATAAGGATAAGGCGGTCGTTAATGTCATTCATAGGTCATTTTACACCTTTACAATTTTTGTGGCAGCGTCTGATAGACTTCACATTACCAGTACCAAGTATATTTAAAAGTTTTCAATTCCCTATCTTATATTTACTCAGATTAAATTACCTGCGGCTGACAATCTTTTAGACATACAAATTATAAGTAATGTGCAGATCTCCCGATAGGAAACAGTTATACAAATACAAACAATCTTCTGGAATCAGTTATGCTGAACGTGTCAATTTCTACAATCCCATGTTCTGAAATATTTCATATTAATACTAAATATTTTAGTTAAAATCTGAAATTAGATGACATTTGTTCGAACCAGTGAGTTTAATATTGGTTCATCGCCTAATTCTTTATATCAAGATATTAATTTTGAAAACTTTGAGCTCAACATTCTACTCAAAAGTGCTTCTTACTTTTAATGTTTACTGTAAATAATTAATTCTGAATTAAGAATCTGAAAAGATTCAAAGGTATATTTCCAACCATTGGACAAAGCAGAACATTCTTTCAAAAAATGCAGTGAGTTACAAACATTTGTCCTTTCTGTGGTGTGAGATCTTTGAAATACCTATACTTCTGATTTAACATAAAAATAAAATTGTTTAATTGTAATTTTTTTTTGGTATGACTTGATTTGTAATGCATGATTACAATTAAGTGAGGAAATCTGGTAATACAAGGAGAAGGTGTGTTTGTTGTTTTAAAACGTCGCTCTCGGGAATTTTTCGCTCATATGGAGACGCCGCCATTTGCGGGCCGAGGGCAGCAAATTTAGATCTCTACTCGGCACTCAAGGTCATTGAGTAGTGAGGGATCTTTTTCGTGCCAGCACCTACCGCGACAGGGAACATTGGTTTATACGGTCTCATCCGAAGGACCGATCTCCACGTCCCGCAGTGGGATTCGAACCCGCGACGTAAGGGTCAATTCCTTAAACTGCAACTTAAGAGCAAACGCACTGACCACTGCGCCACACAGAGAATAAACTTGAATGTGCAATCTATGAGGATATATCGATGTAAATTATTGTAGCTCTGCTTTTCTGCAGAACATTTTAAAAAAAATCTTTGCTTATATAAAAATTTGACTCCCACTGTGCTCCAAAATATTTGGATTCATATATATATATATATATATATATATATATATATATATATATATATATATATATATATATATATATATAATTTTATTTTCTTATTTATATAAGATAATCCAATTTCAACTTTGACCCCTATTGTAGTCCTACCGTCGCCCAGGGGTCATAATTTGAACAAATATGAATCTAAACTGGTGAGGAGGCTTGCATATCAATATAAGAAAAAAGATGAAGATAAAAAACAGAGATCACTTTCAAAAATTCAAAATTATGAACAGAAAAAGAAAACACCAGAGGTGAGATCAGGTGCCTAGGAGGAATAAGCATCTGCTGTCGACCTGTCACATCAATAAATATTCTGATCATAGCGTTAGCCAGTATTTAATAAAACTTTTTGATGAAATATGGAGATAACGAACAGTAATCAAGCTCAAAGTCCATTAAAAGAATACAAATCGGGAGCAGAGCAAACACGGACCTCCAAAAAACATCAGAAGTGGGATCAGGTGCCATGAAGGAGTGAGCATCCCCTGCCGACCAGTCACACCTGCCTTGTGCTCCTTGTGTCATGATCGGAAAATAACGGAAAAATCCGTCGACAATTCAGTGTGTAAATAATGGCCTAACAATAAGTATGAAAAACGACAGTCAGCATATGACTTAATGATAGATATGTATTTGCTGACAAGGTCATGGTATCGACCATAGAACTTACTAAATGATGACTTTAAACGAGACTGTTGATATGCTTGTTTAGTCAACTTGTTTCAATAACTTAATTCGTTTTAGAAATTGTTCATATGTAGAGCATGCTCTTGCTTATCGAATCAACTGAGGGATATACACCCTATATACAAGTGAGATGTAAGGGAAGATGACGATTGAAAGGTTAAAGACAAAGCTTTGTTGTTAGATTACAATTAACGTCTTTTTCTAATAAATTATCCAAATATGAAACTGATGTGTCAGACTCTGTGGTATCTTTCATTTCAAGCTCACTCGGATATATCTTGTCGACATATGAATGGAAATAACTATTGTTAGTTGATAATGCGTCGTCGATATATCTAAATGTCGAGTTAAAGGCCACAGCAAGAGATTTCTTTTTCTCATGTATAAGATTTTGAATAAATTCTGCTTCATATGAATACAAAAATAGTTCTGCTAACAACGGGGTGCAATTGGTACCCACTGGAATTCCAACAGATTGTTTGAAGACCTGGTCTCCAAAAACCACATAGATATTGTCAATCAGAAACTCAAGCATCTTTTTAATATCAACTTCAGAGTACTTGTGTGTACAATCAGAATGTTTTCTAACAAAATAATTTTGCAAATGACCAATGACAAGGTAAGTAAATTTTCGAGTTCTATTTTTAATTAAAAAAAAAAAACAGCTCAATGATGTCAGAAAGCCTGAACTTTAATTTTTCGTGGGGAATGGTTGTATACAGAGTTGAAAAGTCGCAAGTTTTTATGTTATTGATTTCGGTAAAATTTTGTGATTTCAAATTTTCCAAAAGTTCCTTGGAATTTTTAAGTATCCACATCTGATTTACATTACTTCTCGAATATATTGTTGCACAGTACCCCTGAAGTTTCTCCTTCACTGCTGTTAATATTTTAGTGAGGAGTAAAGAAAAGGCTTGGTAAAACATTTACTGGAACCCGCTATATATCTTTGTAAGGATTTTTATGAAGTTTCAAAATCCAGTATAAATATGGTTATTCAAATTCAATTTGGTTGTTGGGAATATTAAGAATATTCAAAACTGACATATGATTTTGAAAAATTCCTCCTTAGAAAGGGAGCTATGGGTATAAGCTGGATTGCCACTTGTAGAATTAAATCCCAATTCTAAAATACAATTTAAACTAGACGAGCTTGTTGCAAAGCAACAAATAAGTCTTCCGTCTAAATTTCAAGGAGATGAGATCGAGATCGAGAGACATCTAGGGATAAACGAGCAAGAATGAGCCATCTACCATTACTTCCGGTTTGACCGGAAATGACGTCATTTTGACGACTTTTAATGATCTCCTTAGCTGCTACTTGTCATTTTAAACAACCTTGCTTCTATGATGCTATACAAATTCTCAATACTTTTTGAGATATCAGAACACTTTTGGCCCCTCTAGCTCCCTAATTTTAAGGACCAGTCCCTTATTGTTGATATCCTTTGAAAGATCGTAACATTCTACACTACTTTTGTTCTATATGTTTTAACAAAATATTTACAGGTAAAAAAATATTATAGAAAAGGTGTAAGAAATTTTGAAGTTTTCGATAATACTATTTTCGGGCCGTAGCGAGCGTCGGCGCTTCGTACTTCCGGTGATACTGATATACAAAATTCACTTCTCTATAGTTTGCTTTATCATCACTGAAAATTTAATACATCTATGTTCAGTGGTTTCTGAGAACACTGCCGGACAAAGTGACCCTGTAAAAATCACAAAATCGCGGAAATCTCCGAACCGGAAGAGACGTCATCAAAACCAAAAAATATATATCTAGATTTTTTGATGTTCTATCAGACCTGTAAGTTTCATGAAAATCGAGCGAGCCGTTTCCGAGAACTCACGTGCACAAAATCGGTAAGAAAAAAAAAAAACAATAATAATAACTAGATGCGATCTCGTTGCGAGCAACGAGTGGGTCTTCCGTCCGATTTTTGATAAGATGAGATGAGGTACGAATTTGACTGAGATTTTCGTTCATAAATATATAAATAGTGAAAACGTACAATTTGCTTCATTTTGATCATTATGACACCTAAAAACGCAATGTTTGATGAAGATTTTAAAATATTTATAGAAGCAGATCGTGAAGATGAACATTACTGTAAAAGGGTTATAGATAAAAGACTTTTGGCCCCTCTGAGCCCCTAATTTTAAGGGTCAGCCCCTTTTTCTTGATATCACATGAAAGGTCTTGTAATTCAGAAGACTTTTTGTCCAACAACTATTCAGAAGTTTCGTTTCGTTTTCGAGACATGAGGACTTGAAATATTTAGGGGCCGTCCCTTTAAGTCCTTATAGGGTCTGTTTAGGAAAAATTCAAAGGATGCACATTGTTGAGAACATCATTCTAAACAACTTTTGTTCAATATTGCTTTTCAAAATATTCCCTTCTTTCGAGATATAAAGCGTCAAAGATTAAGCATTCTGGCCCCTTGTGGTCCCTAATTACGTAATATTTGAAGAAAAATTTCAGATATATAGTTGCAGATTGTGAAGATGAACATTTTTGCTTCAATAATTAATATCAAAATATTTAACGTTAAGGAGTTATAGATGAAAGACTTTTGGCCCCTCTGAGCCCCTAATGTGAGGGTCAGCCCCTTTTTCTTGATATCACATGAAAGGTCTTGTAATTCTGAAGACTTTTTGTTCAACAACTTTTCAGAAGTTTCGTTTCGTTTTCGAGATATGTGGCCTTGAAATATTTAGGAGCCGTCCTTAAAGTCCTTATAGGGGCTGTTTAGGAAAAATTCAAAGGATGCACATTGTTGAGAACATCATTCTAAACAACTTTTGTTCAATATTGCTTTTCAAAATATTCCCTTCTTTCGAGATATAAAGCGTCAAAGATTAAGCATTCTGGCCCCTTGTGGCCCCTAATTACGTAATATTTGATGAAAATTTTAAGATATATAGTTGCAGATTGTGAAGATG